TTGCATCGGCGGGATTAGGGCTTCGACACTCTGATCTTGTCAATGTAAGCACCGATCTATCAATTTACTTGTATCGGCTGAGATTCGTTTTAGGATTTATGCTGGTATCGGCTAAATTGCTTTACCAGATTAGATTAACTAAGGTATCCACCACTCTTAGAATCAGTCAAAGGCTCGATTGTTTAGACTTTATGTTTCTTTGCATACTTCGAGTTGCATCGACCTTAGTTGTGCTTAGAACCATAAAAACTAATATGCCTTTTGATTGCCAATAAGGGTTTCATCGGGGTTTCAGCCGATGAGTTATCTGGACGTTTGCATCGGCTTATAAGGATTACATACAAGTTGGATTTAGCTGATCACAACAAAGGTTTCAATGTTTATTTAATCTTATGGATCTTATGACATCGGACATCCAGCCGATGTATGCTTTAACCTTCGGATCACTTGTTCTATGATACTATTGTTAGCCAATTGGTTCTTATTGGATTACATTGTTGTCTTATTATATTACCATCAGCTGATTTCCTTTATATTATTATTTACATCGAGTGTCAGACTCTACATTAACCATATAGCCGATAGCTCAAAATCCTATCGCTATCGGCTGGTATCGGCATCGGCTGGAACTATTCCATCGGCTTGTCAGCCGATCGGCTCATTGATCTGCTATTGTACATCTTGTTAATTGCAGGATTAAACTGATTAGCACGCCCTCATCTCATCATATTTGGGCCTGCACTGGAGCTAAGCAGATCTCCCAGGCCGTTGTGTTCACGGACTTAGTTCGTGCCAATACAGACCCGACATCATCGGCTCAGCGCGGATTTCTTGTCAACTCCCCCCTCTGCCAGATCTGGAGAGAGGGCAGGCGGCGAGTGGAGGTGTTGGCCCGGCGGCGGGAGGAGAGGTGGTGGCGGCCCGGCGGCGGATCCTCCGGCGGTAGTGCCCTCCCTCCGTCAGATCTGGAGGGAGGGCAGGCGGCGGGAGGGCAGGCGGTGGTGGCCCGGCGGCGGGAGGAGGTGGTGGCCTGGCAGCGGGATGAGAGGTGGTCCGGCGGCGGATCCTCCAGCTAGCGGCGACATTCTTTCCTTCCGCGTCTGTGGTGAGCAGCGGCGAAAAATTTTAGTGAAAGATGAATTGACGAGTGTTCTTCAATGTTTGTTGTTCTATGATTTCTGTGATTGATGTTGTTTGATTGGGGATTGTGATTGATGTTCATTGTCTTTGATTGATTTGGGAGTTCTGTGATGCAGGATGGATGCGCTTGATCCATCGTCTCGATCTGAGTCGATGCATCAAGCTTTTTTTTTTTGGCTCGCGTATGTCTCAAAGGTGCTGGTTTTAAAACCTACAAACTGGGATCTATTACACATATAGATGCCGGTTTTGAAACAGGCACCGGTGACCGAAGTCATCCGTGCCGCTTCTGTGGTGCTGGTTCGGAAAACTGACACCTAACGGGGTTCCCAACCGACACCGAAGTTCTTTTCTGTAGTAGTGTGTGTTTTTTCCGTTTTCAATATAATGCTTAGGGGATCTATCTTTTATTCTAACAAATCTCAAAACACTATCATTGGTAATAATTATGTTTTGTTTGTAACATCAAGTTAGATCTCACCCTAATTCTTGTCCATCGGATCAGAGATGTTAAGATAGCTTACCTCTGATACCAGGGGTGGGCCCAGGATTTTTAGGTTGGGTATTCGAAATAGGAAGGGATAAAAAAATAAAATATCAAGCCTAATAAATGATATGTATGTATAGTTTCGTATAGTTCTAAACTATATAATATATAATGGCTATAAGTATATTTTCATAAATTCATAGAATTGGCCATGAAATGAACTGAATGTATTTTAACATATAGCCGAATGGGCTGAGTTGTGTCCCAAACTCAGTATGGGCTGAGAAGAAGGAAAAAGTTCATCTGACGTCCCTCAACTTTACATCGAGTTTGTATGAGATCCCCAAACCACAATACCAGAAATCTCCACCCCTCAACTATTAAAAACCGTGCAAAGTAAGTCCTAAGGCAGTATGGACCAAATTTTCCTCTGGTTTTGCTGACATGGCATAGGGTGGGTTCCACATGTCAGTGTGCCATTGGTGTCGTTCCTTTTTCTCTTTTTTTCTTCTCTTTTCTCCTCTTTTCTTTCTGCTCTTCTCTTCTCTTCTCTTTGTCTTCTTCAGCGAGCGAGGTCACCAGCGACAAAGGGTGACGCGGCGGCGGGCGGAGCGACGGTGAGCGAGCGCGGCATTGGGCTGCGGACGAAGCAAGCAGGGGGTGGCGGGAGCTCGCCGGCCTCCCCATTCCCTCCCCCATCGCGGCAGAGGCGGAGGCGAACGCCCCCACGGGCCCCCACGGCGGAGCAAGAGGCCAATTGGCTGCCACCACGCGCACCGTCCTCACCTGTCTCCTCACGGACCTTGCCGTCGTGCTCGTGGTGCTCAGCGCGACGATGTACATGAAGAAGCGCCGGCGCGCGGAGGCGGAGGTGGCCCTGGCGAGAGGCTCTGGCGACAAGGTGTTCGGCAAGAAGGGGTCATGGGACCTCAAGTCGTTCAGGGTCCAGGCGTTCGATGAGCACAAGGTGATCGACGGCGTCCGCGACAAGAACCTCATTGACAGCGGCATGTCAAGGAACGTGTACCAATTTTCCCCGACAACCCTCATCTAATCTCCCGGTCTCGTCCTCCTCCCCAATCCGGCGACCCGGCGTGGGATCCATGCGGCGGCGGCGACAGATCCCGCAACGGCTACTCAGGCGCCCTTGGCCGCTCCACTGTCACTATTTCACCACCAGCGAGCCCATTCTTTTGGGTCGGTTTGGGAGAAGCGGGCTCTTGGCGATGAAGTCACTGATGCCGACCTTGCTGCCGGCGAATCCGCCGGTGATCCCCATCATCTGCTTCTACGACGCAGATGGACGCGAGGGAGGGGCCATGGGAACGATGTGCTGAGGAGGACGACGGGTGGCCAGCCGACGCTTTATTGTTCCACCTTGAGGACAGGACGCCGCCGCTTTGCCACGAGGCCAGGCCATCGCATGTGTCAGGGCCGCCTTGAGGTGATGAACCTGCCTATGGAGATGGAGCAATCATCAACCTCCATGCGAGTACCGCCGCTGTCATCGTCGTCGTCCGATAGCTGGCCGGACAACAACGAGAGAGCTCACTCCGTTGAAAATTTGCTGACAAGTGGGGCCACCGTATGCCATGTCAGCGAACCATGGGAAATTTTGGTGCATATTGCCATGGGACCAAATTTACATAGTTTTTAATAGTTGAGGGGTAGAGATTTCTGGTATTGTGGTTTGGGGATCTCAGACAAACTTGATGTAAAGTTGAGGAACGTCCGGTGAACTTATTCCTGAGAGGAAAGGGGGAGGGGAGTGGGAAATATGGGGCTAATAGAGAAGGAATGGTGAAATAGGGCCCAAGATAAGTAATTTAAGGCTTCTTCTTTATTTTTTAATACATATATGAAGCATAGAGGCTTCTTCTTTGTTTTTCCAAAAATCTTGGGTATACATCTGAATAGCCTTGAATCACTACTAAGCCTGCCTATGTCTGATACCATTGTAGGATCGTAAATGTCTTTTACACTATAAAAGCTAGCCAATAAGATAAGGGACTCCTCTACTTATATATTAGGTCCCTTATCTTTTCACAATCCATGTTGATAATTCTTAAAAAATATGGAACTATTAAAAATAAAGAAATTAAGTATATTATATATATCACTGTTCTAGTTAGCTAGTTGTATACGTACATCATTGCGTCCACACATCCCATGTACTCCACGACAGCCTATATACTTGTCTGCCCTCTGGTGATGTTGGTATATATATATCAATGTCACTACACGCTATCTAGCTAGTATCTATATCTTGTTTTTTTTCTGCTAGATACAAACACCGATCGAGGGGCCCGGGTATACTTCTACCACATTTTATAAAGGTTGACTTGACTCGCTTGTTATTATACATTAGTTTAACAGCCAAACGTCCTCATGTAAATTTTCAACCCTGGAAACTCAAATTCGACCGGGTAATAAGAATTTTATAGATAAGATATCATGGGGAAGTCTTTTTTGCCCCCTCGAGGATGCCCTCTGATTTTTTTATTTTAAAAATCTTTCTTCAAATAGTTATACAAAAATTTAGAAAATTGATCGAATTTCGAGCTAACTAACATCAAATTTGAAAAAAAAAAGAGGGAGTATTAATCTATCTTGTTAAATTTTCTTTAATTTTTTTGACTGTTTTAATGACTGCAAGAAAAAGTATGGGATAAAAAAGTTGGCAACTAAAAATGACTTATTTTTCCATTGTAGAGATATTTAGTGCATGCATAAAACATTTTTCACTATTACTGGCCGAAGTGGCAGATCGTTGACGCAGACACGCAGTGATATTCTGGACAACGATAAGACTGGGTCCGTTCGATTCGACAGCTTTTAAAAAAATGATGGCATGTAAAATAATACTCCCTCCGTCCCATAATATAAGAGATTTTGAGTTTTTGCTTGCAACGTTTCACCACTCGTCTTATTCAAAATTTTTTGAAATTATTAATTATTTTATTTGTGACTTACTTTATTATCTACAGTACTTTAAACACAACTTTTCGTTTTTTATATTTGCAAAAAAAATTTGAATAAGACGAGTGGTCAAACGTTGCAAGCAAAAACTGAAAATCCCTTATATTGTGGGACGGAGGGAGTACAAGTGAATAGCACAAAATTAGTCAAGTATTAACTAACTTGAAAAAATGGATTTGTTAAAATTTGAAATTTATATAGAAAAATTTTACAGAGGTGTTAACGGAAAAGATGAAGTTGAGCTTAAAAAAAAAGAACTCCTGTCCAGTGTATGCATGGAAGGTTCTCATAGGAGGGCCCATAACAACTTGAGCAAGTCAACGGTGCTTGTACTTGCATAGTATTCGACTTTCTATATATTTGCCTAGTGGACATAGCAAAAAGCTGCGATATCTTTATTATAAACGTTGAAACACAAGTACGTACGAACGATATCTTAGAGGGTGTTTGGGAGAGAGGCCCCTCTCACAAAACACCACAAGCTTTAGATCATAGAATGGATGAGACCGGTGCGGCCGAGGCGATTGGGATGGAGGCGCCACCATCCCCGACGGCCATGGCCACCTCTGGTAGCTGCGTGGTGGAGATACCGACGGATATAACGCTCAGCCATGATGACGGCGAGCGATTTCCTGGGGAGATATCGATGGTGCGACCACAGCGGCACTCGATTTATCGGGTGCCAGAGTACATCAAGGACATGACCAACCGGGACGCGTATCGGCCGCAGGTGGTGTCGCTGGGGCCCTTCCACTACGGCGAACCCCCGTTGAAGCCCATGGAGGCGCACAAGCAGCGCGCGGTGGCGCACATGGTCAGCCGGAGTGGGAAGCCACGGCAGGAGTTCACCGCTGCCGTGGAGGGGATAGCCGAACAACTGCGGGGCGCTTATGAGAACCTAGGCGAGGAGTGGAGTGGAGAGCGGTTCGTGGAGCTGATGGTCACCGACGGCTGCTTCTTGCTGGAGGTGATGAAGGATGAGGTGGAGGTACAAGGTTATGGGTCCGATGACCCTGTTTTCAGCAAGCATGGCCGTCTATACTTGTACTCCTATATCATCTCTGACATGCTCTTGGTTGAGAACCAGTTGCCATTGCTCCTCCTCCAAAAGCTCACGCTTGTTGCAGATCCTGACACTGAGGTACTCAATTACTGGCTCCTCCATCAATTGATGGGGTGTATTTTAATTTAAAGTGGTCTTCTTACGTTAAATATTGAATCTATCCATTTATTATAAAAAATAAATAATAAAAGAAGCTAGTATGTTCATTCTGGAAGTTTAGAAATTACCATATTAATTAATTGTAAAAAGTGTTAGATCCAACTACGGTATTTTGGGAGTATTAGGGTATTCGTTTGATTGAAATAGGAAGATAGAAGACAAGAATTTTTTATACTGGTTCGGGTCCATAAAATATATAAAAACCATACTCCGGTTTATATATATAACTAGGGAAAGTATCACACCGTTTATAATACGAGAGCAAGCTAGCTAGTCTAGCCCACCAACTAGTCTTCGTCGAGAATTAATCTGGCGACTTGGAGTCGACGGCTAGCTATTAGCTTCCTCCTAGCTGATCTTCGATGTGACTTATATATGGTTATGGATTGTCATTCAGTGCCCTCCTCTCCAAAGAAAAGTTATGTATATACAGGTAGACAAGTACCCCTCGCTACTACACAAAACCCTTTTGGTGCCGGTTGCCAACCCCAAACAGGTGTTGGATTTGGTAACCAGCACCATGCAGGTGGCACCTATGAGTATTGTCAATGGTGCTGATTCAAGAACCGGCACCTTTGAGGTGTATGGATCGCAAAAAAAAAAGATGGCTTGGTTCGGACCAATTCGAGCTAATGCCTCCAAGCCAAGAAAAAAAATCAAAAAAACTAAAAGAAAATGAGACAAGTTCTTATTCATATCAGAGAATCACAAATCATACATTCACATAAAAAATTTGTTGATACATTCACATCAAACATTCATCAATAAATTTATTCAAAAACCAATCAAAGGAGAGGAAGGAGAGGCCGCCGCTGCCATCCCGTCGAGCCGCCGGGGAGGCCCTGCTAAGGGTAGACAATCGCCGGCAGCAAGATCAGCGAGAGAGAGGAGGGCGAGAGAGAGGATGGTAAGCGAGAGGGAAAAGGAGTAGGGAGAGGACGAGGGGGGATATACTGACCTTTGATGTCGTCGAAGCTATCCCGGAGCGCTCGCCCTATGACCGCGACCGGGCTGGCACGGCTGCTGGAACCCTAGCCTCTTCCTCCTCACTGGCTGTACCGTACTAGTTTCGCCCCTCGGCACACCACCTCCCCTCCCACCTCCTCCCCTCACCCCGGATCTGGCTGAGGGGAGGGTGTTGCCGTCGCTTCCCTCCCGCAGGGCCACTAACGCCAGGTCGGGGGGACTGAGAGAGAGAGAGAGAGAGAGAGAGAGATAGAGAGACCGCCAGGCTAGATCTAGCAAAGGGGAGGCTGCGGTGGGCACCGCCGCCCCTCCCAACAGGCCAACAACGCCGGGTCGAGGGACCGACTGAGAGCGAGAGATAGAAAGCCAAGTGTGTGTGTGTGAGAGAGAGAGCGAGCCGTGGAGGAGAAAGGAGGATAAGATAAGGAAGAGAGATGAGGAGGAGAGGATAAAGACGGGATCAGCTTGGCTCGGCTCAATTTCAGGGGTGCCGGTTTTTTAAAAAACCAACACCTAGCCTATAATATATTAAATGTTCTGCTTTTTAATAAAAACCGACACCTATAGCATAGGTGTCGGTTATTCTTTAGAACCGGCACCTATAATTCCTTAAAAGTATCGGATTTTTGCGATTTCAACCCGCGGAGTTAGGAAAAGGTCTATAGGAGCCGGTTTTAGCACTTCCGGCGCCTATAGTGCCGACCTCTATGTGCCTTTTTGTAGTAGTGCCTTGTCCAAATAGAATTCGGGGACTCCTTGAAGATACAGGCAGATAATTCCTTGTAGTACCCGGGTCAGTGTCCAACATCTTTAATTTATATAAAAACTACATAGCAACTACGATACAATTTATATAAAACTTGTATTCAACTATGGTTTGGTTGGCTAGTATTGGAATCTTATGCGCAACTTGTGTGGAAATTTCTTTCTAGCAATTTTCCCTTCATGCACAAATCTTGAGATGATCCAATGGCCACAAATCTGAATGTTTTGGAGGCAAAAAACTACTGTAAGTTTTCTAGCAATTCCGCCGTGAATAAGGGGGACCCGGGGAGGGGGGGGGAGGGAGGGGGGTACCAATACACAACCACGAGAGGAGGGTCAAACATTAACTAATTAAAAAATTCATAACTTTTCATTCGTCACCTCTTATTTGTCTGCGTCTTTTTGTCCGTCAACACGCTAGTTTGGTTGAATCGGACTCGAGTTCGAGCTAAATAGGGGAGCGATTTCCACGGGATTTCCTTCAATTTCTTGAGGGGAAAGATAGAGTAGGAGATATAGATAAAAAACCCTCAACTAGTTTGAGATTATGTCCACGGGTTTGGTTGAATCGGACGTGGGATTGGGGTGGCGTCGGGTGTAGTGTAGGCCGGGCTCTGGCTCGGCTGGAGCTTGAAGGAGCTACTGTAGCGATAGGGAGATAAATTAGACTTCTGCTGGGACTTCTTTTGCTAGGCTCGATTGAATGAGGATGCAAATTGGACTTTAACGGAGAAAGGAAATAAGCCAGAAACAGAGAAGACCCAAAAAGGAGAAAATTCAGACTTTTCCATATTCGGCCGAAACATGAAAGGCGCTAGGGAGGATTTTGATTCCTTTGTCTAATTAAATAATTGCTGAAATGATCTTTCGTTTATTTTGTGTTCATGTTCCCAGACCTGTATCCCATATGTGTTGGCACGAAGAAAACAGTTCGGTTTGCTGGTTGGTATGAAATCATGATTTGGATTAAATCTAATTATAAAGATAGAGCTTATATTTGATAAATCTACATCATTATATCGAAACATGGGCTAAAACATTTTCTAGATCCACTATGATCAACGGCGTATATTTTTGTTTCAGGTAATGTGTTGATTTCTAAGCCACAAATGTGAATAAATATTTCTTTATTACTGTAATAAAATAATTTATAAATATGTGGGAGAAAACATATATATACACGAAAAGAAAACATATGTTACACTAGGTTATAAAAAAAATGTCACTTTAAAGTTATTTAATGTTTGGTGTACTTCTAGTTTTTAGTTTTTCCCGTTGCAACGCATGGACACTTTTTCTAGTCATTAATAGATTAATAATCAAACTAACTCAATCATCGAGCTATGCACCAACCAAGGAATTCTCGATGGCATATCAAATCTACCGATTACCTTTCACAGCTAGGATAAAAACAGTTAGGAAAGTTTTTGGTTTCCAGAAACTTTTTGGAAAAGGAAAGTGTCGGTCGGAATTTTTTTCCGAAAGTTAAACGAGAACGAATTTGGAATTTTTTTTTGTATAAATGGAAATGAATATGGTAAGGAAATCTAAATTTTAAATTTTAAAATTTTTCGTGGAAGATGGAAACATAAATTTTAAATTTTATCCTTTGAAAAAGATTTAAAATTTTCAGTTCTCAAAATTAGGTCAAAGAAGGGAGGGGCAATATAGTTATCTTGGAAAATACAACGATGAATCAAGGTCAACATAATAATAAGTATATCTCTTCTCTACTATTATAAAAATTGAAGATGTTTTTGACGGTATTTTGGTACGTCAAGTTCGTTCGCTTTTAGAAACATAGATCCGTGTTTGAGTCAGATTTTAAGTTCATTTGCTTTTGAAAATACAAAAGAAGTCGTATAAGAGATATGTTTAAAAAACTCGCATGCTAACTTGAGATGAAAGTCGGACTCCTAATAGTAGCTCATGATTTTTCTAAAAAAAATATCCAAGCGAATTCGCACAGTGAATTTTATCCTAACTAAACCATATAACAGTAATATGATTAAAATAGCATTCACCCATTGCAACGCACGGGCAGTTTTTCTAGTAAATAGATTAAAAATCAAACTAACTCAATCATCGAGCTATACACCAACCAAGGAATTCTTGATGGCATATCAATCTACGACTACTATTACCTTTCAGCTAGGATAAAAACAGTTAGGTAAGTTTTTGGTTTCCAGAAATTTTTTGGAAAAGGAAAGTGTTCGCTCGGAATTTTTTTTCCGAAAGTTAATGATAAGGAACGAATTCGGAATTTTTCGTGTAAATGGAAATGGATATGGTAAGGAAATCTAAATTTTAAATTTTAAAATTTTTTCGTAGAAGATGGAAACATAAATTTTAAATTTTATCCATTCAAAAAGATTTAAAATTTTCAGTTCTCAAAATTAGGTGAAAGAAGCGAGGGGCAAGTAGTTATCTCAAAAAATATATCGGGTGAATCAAGGTTAACATAATAAGTATAGAAGGAAAAGTTATATCCGGTGAATCAAGGTCAACATAATAAGTATAGAAGGAAAAGTTTAGGAGCATGTCATACCCAAGCAATATTCCCATTTATTTACTTAAATCCGAAAACCAATTTGTTACTTACTCTAATCTCGATTGATGGCCACATGCAGGATGATAGAGGGATAAACCACCGGGTGCTTGATCTTCTTTCCTATACCACCACGCCTACCGCGCCTACCACCCCTGTCGATGAGTTTTTGGGGCTCCACCCACTGGACGTTCTCCAGAAAAGCGTCCGTGGTACTCGTCAATACCGCCAAAGGCCAATAGGAGACGGACACATGCCTTCCGCTGCAGAGCTCCGTGAGGCAGGAATCCATTTCAAGGTGAGCACAGGTGAAGGATTCGCAGGCACGGTCAGCTTCGAACGAGGCGTACTGCGCGTCCCAAAGATCTTCCTGTACGACGACGCCGAGCGCATGTTCCTCAACCTGATGGCCTTCGAGCAGCTGCGCCCGGGCGCTGGGAACGAAGTGACCGCGTTCGTGTCATTCATGGACGACCTCATCAACACGGCCAAGGACGTGCGGCTGCTGAGGGCCAAGGAGATCATCGAGAGCGGCTTGGGAAGCGACGAGGCGGTGGCGAATCTGATCAACAACACGCTGACGAAAGGCTCGGTGATGGACGAAGACAGCAGCCTCAACGACGTGATGTCGGAAGTGGATGCCTACTGCAAGATGCGGCGGAACAGGTGGAGGGCCATCCTCCTACACACCTACTTCAGTAACCCTTGGGTGTTCATCTCCCTCGTCGCTGCTACTGTCCTGCTCATTGCTACTGTCATCCAAACTGTCTACGCTATCCTGTCCTTCAACAGCAAGACCTAATTAAAACCTTGCACCATGGTAAACTCCATGAACATATATATATTCATCTTCAGGCCTCGCAGCTTAATAATAGTTAGTATATTTGAGCCAAGAATTATCCGAAGTACTCTTGCTTTTATACCACCATGTAATATTCTGTCTCTATATCTAATCCCAATCAAACCTTCCAAAAGGAGTAAGCTTATACTTTTGGTCTATGCCCTCCTAGTAATATATCACATATTTTTGATGGTTGGCTTTTGGAGGTGGATAAGAAAAAGAGTAAACTTATATTTGTGGGAGCCTCTGCAATATATATATTGGGCTCTGTGGTTGAGCAGTAATGATTTGATTTTTGACAAATCACCATCTATTACATATATGCAGACAATTTTCAGGGCAACATATTGGCTCCGGTGTTGGGCTCAGCTACAAAGCTGTGATGAAGATGGCGAGTTTATGAAGGTTGCATGCCGTAGGCTTGAGATGACAGTTATGCAACTTTTTGCCAATTATGGTTGGAGATTCACAAATAGACTTCAATAACGTGTTCTCCTTATCTTAGATGGGTTATTTTTTATTTTAAGTGCGTGTTCTCAATGTTTTGTTGAACTATACTCTTTTTTGAGTGCAACTTTGTAATAATTGGCTGTAGCTCGTTTTGAGCTAAGGTCGGGATATTCTATTCCATTATTAAAAAAAAAACCTTCCAAAACCATCCTTCCGTTATGTATGCATTCACCCTCATTAATTAGTTTGGTTCAATGCTGTAGAACACCAAATATATGATGCCTCATATATATGTACCAGTTGACTTGAAACCAACACATATGAGACATTTCCAGCCACACGGGGAATTCAGACTAAGAACAGAATACTCCGGGATTTTAACCTAAGACATGAAAATAATTATCAATGCTGGTTTATTAGTGAACCGACACCAAAAAGTCGGCCGAGCCGATCAAGAGGCAAACTAAAGGGGAAGATTAGTTCCATATGGCATGGAAAGTATCTAGTGGTCCATTCAGGATACATGAATATTGTTTTGCTATTGGTTGTGCATCATGACACTAATTAAACATATAGACTAGCACGGCACCAACACTATCGCAGAGACCTCCCCCTCAGCACTAGCGTTCCTGTGAAGGATAGGGGTGAAAACGGTTTGGAATTTTTCCGGATTCCGGACCTGTTTTCGGAAACGGAATCAGCCGGTCGGAATTTTTTTGGAATTTCTCGGAAACGGAATCGAAAACGGAAATATTTTTTCGGAAACAGAATCGAATATGATGTTTCCGTCGGAACTCGGAATCGGTCGGAAAAATTCCGGAAAGTTTGTCGGAATTTCCAAAGTTAAAAAGGCCCATCCAAATAGTCCATAATTCCTCCCTAAGTTCCCAGCCCAACCCAAGTCCCTAACTGGCTAACCCTAGAGAGGAGAGAGAGAGATCGAGAGAGGCGGCGCATCAGAGATCGAGAGAGGCGGCGGCGGAGCGGCGCATCCAGGGGTCGAGCGCGCCACCGCTGGCCGCCGTCCTTGGCTAATCGGCTCCTCGCGACCTCGTCCCCGCCGTCTCACCGCCCTTCCTCTCTCGCTCCGTCCTCGCCCTCACCATTTTCGCCGCCGCCACCACCACAGACGACGCCGCCGACGCGGACGACGCCGGCCACTGGCCACACCGTTGATGCCGGCCACCCACTAAATCGCGAAAAAAATAAAATTCCAAAAAGAATTCAAAAAAAGAAACCCTAGCTGTCGCCCGAGCTCGCCGGCCGCTCTCGCCGCCACCTGCCCCCGCCTCCTCGTCGTCGTTGGCGGCAGAGGTGAGGAGGAGATGGCGGAGGCGCCGCCGCCCGAGGTTGCCGCTACTCTTCGCCCGAGGCCGCCGTCGGATTCGGGCGGGACGAGGCCCGCCGCCGCCGGATCCGGGCGGGACGAGAACCGTCGCCGCCGGATCTGGCCCGTCACCTCCTCGTCGTCGTCGGCGGCGGCGGTGAGGAGGAGATGGCGGTGGTGCCGCCGCCCGAGGTCGCCGCCCACTCTTCGACCGAGGTCTCCGCCCCCGCCGCCGCTAGCTCCAGGCCGGAGCCCAAGGCGGCCGAGCCGTGCCGCCGCCGCCGCCAGCTCCCACCACCGCCGCCCTAGGAGGAGTGGAGAGGAGAGAAAGAGTGTTAAGGAAATAAAGAGAGTGAGAGGAGAGGATAGAAAGAGAGAGAGTGAGTGGAGGTAAAAATATCAGGATAAGGAGAGAGAAGAGGAGATGAAAAAATTTGAAGGGAGGAGGAGGGAAAAACAATTAATTTCAAAATATTAAAACTTTGAATCGAATTTTATGATATTAAATGAACTCGTGTGAAAAAGTTGTCAAAAATAAAGTTGTAGAACTCGTTAAGATCTACCAATTTTCTTTTGGTCATTTCTCCATCCGAGTTTGATTGGACTATATAAAGTTTGAATTTTAAAATATAAGAAATTCAAAAAAAATTTCGGGTAGTAAATGATTTCAAATGGAAAAGTTGTCAACAACAAAGTTGTATAACTCATCAAGATCTACAACTTTCGTATTGGTCATTTTTCTATATGACTTTGTTTGAACATTTTGAATTTGAATTTTAAATTATGATAACTTCAAACAACATTTTCAAGTACTAAATGATTTTAACTAAAAAAGTCATCAATAACAAAGTGGTATAACTCATCAAGATCTATAACTTTTATTTGGGTCATTTCTTCATCCGATAAAGTGATTTATAAGATCGTTCACAAAATGTATATATCTCTTATATAGTTTATAAACTATAGGAGATATATGTAAATTTTGTGAACAATGTTACTATCACTTTATCGGATGAAGAAATGACCAAAATAAAAGTTATAAATATTGATGAGTTATACAACTTTATTGTTGATGACTTTTTCAGTTGAAATCATTTAGTACTTGAAAATATTGTCTGAAGTTGTCATTATTTGAAATTCAAATTCAAATTATAGAAACAAAGTCATATAGCAAAATGATCAAAACAAAAGTTGTAGATATTGATGTGTTATACAACTTTTTTTTGTTGATGACTTTTTCATTTGAAATCATTTAGTATTTGAAAATGTTGTTTGAAGTTGTCATAATTTGAAATTGAAATTCAAATTATTGAAACAAAGTCATACAGCAAAATGACCAAAACAAAAGTTGTTGATCTTGATAAGTTATACAACTTTGTTATTCACAATTTTTTTCATTTGAAATCATTTACTACCCTAAAAAATATTTGAATTGAGAGGAAGGAGGCATTATAGACTTCTCGGCGAGGGAGGAGCAAAAGGGCTGGGCCAGCAGCCCGAAGAGGGAGGAGGGGAAGGGGAAGCCGGCCCGTGGAGGGAGAGAGAGGCTGCGGGCTGCGGGCTAATAGTGTATACTTTATACCTTATACCATGGTATTTTGCTGTATTTTTTTTAGAATATTTGTTATGCAAATTATATGAAGATATAGAAGAATATATTTTGCTATTGAGACTTAACAATTAGACTTTATATAATTGTGTTTTATGATGAATTGTAGACTGTTAAGACTTGAGAATTGAACTTGACAAAAGTTTGAAGCTCAGTTTGAGGGGTTTTTGTATTCCGATAAATTTTCATTACCGTATCCACGCCGGTTCGTTTTCGCTCCATTTTCGGTTTCGATAATATTCGTTTCCGTTTTCGTTTCCGGGGTTTCCGATTCCGAAAAAAATATGGAAACAAAAACGATAAAGGTTGTTTCCGTCCGTTTCCGTACCGTTTTCACCCCTAGTGAAGGATTCGTATTCGCAATTTTAGAGGTCTCTTTGTAAAATATATTTTTGGAAAGGACTAAAATGTCAAAAATTCTGATTCAGTACGTTCCTCTATAAATTGCTTCCTCCTGCTAATTAAGTGAAACTTGGAAGCTCCCAGGGCCATATATAACTTCTTCAGACCACTCTAGCTAGGGCGATGGCCAATATCCCTTCTCCACTCCACTGGGCGCCATCACCGCTTAGCTCGCCGCCCCCCTCCCTATGGCAGCTCACACTTGTTCTCCTGCGCATATCGGAATTGCTATCAAATATTCAGCAGTTTTATTCTTCGAAAACTTTTAGGATCCCCTCGAGATTCATATGGGTGGAAAAAAAATCGTGAGTGCGGACAAAGCTTTTGATAAAAAAAAACGAATGTTGTATATCTACTCCATAACGTAATACGGTTATAAAATAATTCACATTAAGTAAAAGAAAGGGAGAGCGCTACGTGTCGGACGTGCGGCGCGAGACGAAAAATCGGACGCCTCCGCAACCGTCCGATCCATGCACAGGTGCACCAGTCATCCATCATGCATGTATCAAACGAATTTTAAACTATTTTTCTCTCAAAATATTTATCCAAATCATGATCCGATTGTACCATTAAATTCGTTGCAATTAAATCTTTAAAATAAGACCACACATGAATATAATCCGATGAAAAAAAAAGTTTATTATTGAATTATTTTTAAATGTTGCACGCTGTTGCACCAAGTATATCGGAATTGTTTCACTGAGTAGATCGAAAATGTTTTATTGGACGCCATTTCGCCTTATATAAAAATATTGTTTCAGCAATAGCGAAAGGATGTTTCAACTCACTGCAACATTTGATTCATACATAGTGAAACATCATGAGTACATTAGGTGAAACATTTTTAAATTGAAAAAAAATCGGATGGTCCAATGTTGCAGTTGACCAACAAGTAAAACATTATGTTATATATATGGTGAAAAAAAAATCAGTAACTGGAACATTTAAATATTTTATGAAACATAGTGAAGATACACGTTGAAACATGTTGCTGTCACACATGAAACAACAAGTATTAACTAATTGAAACACATGTTTTTCTTTTATCAAAATATAATCAAGCAATATCTTGTTGTAAAGATTTAATTACAACGAATACAATGGTGTGATCGGATCTTAGATTGAATAGGTAATTTAAGAGAAAAATCATTTTGAAGCTTGCTAAAATACATGCATGTATGCATGCATGAGGTGGAGAGAGAGTAGTAGTAGGTAGTTTCAGGAATTTTGTGAAACACACTTAAGACACATATTGAAACATATCACTATCACGTATAAAACATTTTGTGTTAATGGCTTGAAACATACGTTTTTCTTTTGACATAATATAATCATGTGATATCTTGTTGTAAAGATTTAATTGCAACGAATACAACGGTGTGATCGGTTCGTAGATCACATAAGTAATTTAGAAGCAAAAATATTTAAAGAGAGGAGAAAAGAATGAAAAGAAACAGCTAGGTATATGCATGTATGTTATAATACTATAGTACCAGGCTGCTGATCTACAACATTTTCTTGACGTCAACAGAGAGAAAGGAGAAATTAGCAAGCAATGACTGAGTTGACCGTAGGCGTCCGATGTTTTTCATCTGATCGGACGTTCGAAGAGAAGCATTTTCGAAAAGAAAGCTACTATAATGGGCTAGAGTTTAATAAATTTATGGAAGTATTTTCGCTGGAACATATTTTGATCCTTAGAAAACCCGGGCTCAGCCTCCTTGAGCCCCTAATGCTGCCCTTCGATTGATAAAAAAAAAATCATATCCCATCCACGTATGTATGATCCTGGATTTTACTTGCAATTTGGTGAAATCTCTGGCTTACGTACATATTGGAAATGCTAAGGGGCGATCGATCGATC